TTCTCAATACAACATTCCATTGCACGGACTGCATCTTCCTGGGATGTGTTACTAACAGGTTTGAAACTCAGATAAATCTGTGTGTCGTCGGCATAGCAATGCAAGTGTGGGAGATGATCCTCAACTACCCTGGATAGCTTGAATACATAAATGAGAAAGAGCAGCGGGCCCAGACATGACCCTTGTGGAACACCACACTCCAGACTAAAGCACTCTGAAAGAGATCCGTTGGTGGAGACTCGCTGACCTCTTTTCGCCAGATACGACCTGAACCATTCCAAGGCCAATCCGCATATCCCAAGCTCCTCATTCAGACGAGTAAGGAGGATGTTATGATTAAACGTATCGAAAGCGGTGCTAAGATCGAGCATGACCAGCAAGGTGACTTCTTGAGTGTTCATTTTCATGAGAATATCGTTCGTGACTCTAACAAGAGCCGTTTCCGTGCTATGATTTTTACGATATGCAGACTGAAACTCGGGATATAATGAATGAGTCATCATATGGGTGTGTATTTGCTCAAACACCATCCTTTCAGTCAGCTCTGAAACATACTGCAGGTTGCTGACAGGTCTGTAGTTTTTGTATAGAAGGTCTAGCCCAGACTTCTTCAGCAGTGGGAGGAAAAGCGCACACTTCCAGTCATCAGCGAATAGCCCAGACTCAAGTCATAAATTGATCAGGCATTTTCGTTATGATCGGTAGAAGCACATCAATGCAATCTATCACTAGGGATGTTGGCATAGGGTCAAGAGTGCAGCTTTTATTTGTACTGCTGTTGATGAGCTTGCGAACCTTCTCTTCCGTAATGGGGCTAAATTTGCTAAGGGGGGTAGGTGATACTGGGGCGTAGTCATCGAGGAGTGCTGGTAGCCCTTGCGCCATGTTATCGAGATTTGAACCAATGGTCTCAATTTTCTGAATAAAGAAAGTTCCCAGTTGATTTGCCAAGTTACTGTTATCGTCCACGGGTGGATACACCGCCCTGTTATCCCCCTGGTTGAGTAGCTTCTTCGCTGTTAAAAATAGGTGTCGCTGACTGTTGCTATTATCCTGGATGAAGTTATGATAGAATTTGCGTCGAGCTTCATTCATCAAAGCATTCGCATTGTTCTTTTTTACTTTGTACGCCAGCATAACCTCCCTAGTGCCGGTTCATCGCCACTTTTTCTCAGCCTTCCGTTTCTCCCACCTTGCCACCTTGATTTCCCCGTTGAACCAGGGAACTAATGGCCTAGAGCGTATCACTTTTGTACGCAATGGTGCATGCCGTTCGAGAGCATGAGCTAAGGTCGTGTTATAGCTGTTAACGAGTTCGTCAAGTGTATCCGAAGTGTTTTGGCAGAGCTCGGAGGACAATATATCAACCTTTAGCTTTTCTCTGTCGATGTCCTTGATTTTTCTGTTGGACACCTGTTTTACTTTCGGGGGTTGTTTTCCCGACTCAAGATCGCATAGAACAGTAATATGATCAGAGAACAAATAATCATTCATAAGCTTAGCAGAGAGCAAAGAGTCCAAGCATCGAGTGCTAATCAGATCCAGCGTATGTCCAGAAATATGTGTAGGCTTGTCAACGTGCTGCTTGAGGTCCATCGAGGTCAGCAATTCAAGGACACGAGCGGCGTCCGAATCATTGGGAACATTCACATGAATATTAAAATCGCCAGTGATCAGCAATGGCTCAGGGGACAGAACGACAGATTCCAAATAGAACTCGTCCAGAAACACGCTTGTGGAGACAGGATGAGCGGCAGAGCAGGTAAATTACAATCAGACCCATGTTTCAGAATCCATTCACCAAATTCGAACGACCTGTGTTCACCACTGTCCACTTTTCGCACATCGATGGCTTCATTCAATAACAATGCAATCCCTCCGCCTGTCCTACCAAATCTCTGATGTTCAAACAATTTGTACCCAGGTAGCGTAATCTCCGTTTTATGGGCCATATCCCTCTCAGACAACCATGATTCGGTGATAGCGAAAATATCAGCACCAGCTGAAGATGCGTAACAAAAAAAATCGGCCGATTTGTTTTTTAATAGATCTAGCGTTTAGGCAGCAAAGCCGTAAATGCCTCCTGGCACATCGGTATTGTTCTTTGACAGTAGAGATGCTAACAAGGCTGCGAGCAGTCGGTCTCTTGAAGGGTCTTGAATAATTAAAGCGGTATGAAGTTACGACAGGAATATTTAATAAGTTCAAGAAGTTCCCCGCTTCGCCATTAACAGATCTTGTTTCTGGACGAGGATTTTCGCAAATATCGCCAGCTAGCAGTAGGAGATACGAGGCTACCAGCGTCGCGTTGAGTAAGCATAGTCCAGACTCAACTTTGAGCACTGGTGAAACGACTTCCACACTACAATACCGTTGCGTTGGATTCCTCGTAATAAACCTTGAGTAACGTTGAGTTGATTTTCTCACAGTAAACCTTGAATAACACTCCCTGTCCAGACTCAGCACTTTACATAGCGACCAATAACCGTTAAGTAGAACTGCAGATGACTTAAAAGTATCCAAAGTTGAAATAAGTATTAGAACGAGCACTAGCAGCGCGGAGCATCTTAAGACACCCCGTGACAATTGCATTGAAAGGATGAGAGAAGATCTATGGCCAAAGTTTATTGGGGAACCGGCCAAACCGAAATGAACAGATACGTACTAAATTGAATTTTTAACCAGCTCACAGGTTGGCCTTTCTGAACGTCACCACCATTGGACCGGATAATGTTGTGAAAGCGGGCAGCGAATGTGGTTTAGCTTGTGTTAACTCACTATCCTGTTTCTCCTTTAACCTGGCCGTATTTCATGGCATGAATGGCAAACTGCTATGTCAATTACTTCCAACTGACATTTACAACAACTCGGACAAGTTTGCCACCAGTGAGCAATTTCATCACTATAGTATCTTGTTAAGAGCAAACCACTCTTGCAAATTTTATCGCAATTTAAGCGTTGAATGACAACTCACGGGCTTTGGCAGCGCTCTCGAATTTAGATTACCAAAACAGGCCATTCATGGACATTTTCGAAATATGAAAACGTAGAAAAATGGATGGGGGGCACCTTCCACCTTGTATCAGGGTGGGGGTGTCAATAAGTGTATAGGTCTAACGCCCGTGAAGTTTGTTTCACATGCATTCAGTGTTATCAGCATCAATAATTAGAAACCTTTGGCTTACAGGAAGTACATTACAACCGGCGTTCAATTCTGTTAATAAACCATACAGAAAATGTTTAGCTCATTCGGTTCTTGAGCTGAGAAAATTCTGAATTAGAAACACAATTCGGTACAGAAAAGGGGGATAAGGCCGATGGCGTATGTACGTGACGAATCTCATTTTCCTTTTTTTTCCCTTTAGTTTCCCTGCATCAGTTGGCCTTGTCAGAGCAATGGCACATGCGCTGCACAATACAAAGACGATAGCTACATCTGCATTTGCAAACGAGGATACACAGGGAAACACTGCCAAATTCTCGGTATGAAAACCTCATCGATGGGGACCACTTTGTAGGATGTAATGGGGGAAAGATGTCTTTAAAACCAGGAATACCCAAAAATTCACCTGATGTACTTATGAAACTGGGCTAAAAAAAAACTTTTCTTTGAAACTGCGGTTCCATGATTGGCATCGTGCATAATTAGGAGTAATAACATTAGGATCATGTAAGAAAAATATTTATTATATAAACTACGGTATTATACATGGATTCCTAGCCCTGAGAAAAGCCGTAACAGCACACAACGATATGATATTTTTTTCACACGTGTTTGATACCGCCAATCAGCTGCTGACACGCCACTCGCCTTTCGCGCCACTCGGTCAGGTTGATGAATGAACAGCAAAACCTTCACGATCCTCAGTACAAGGTAGTTTGTCGGAACTCTCTAGGATTACGACAACTAAAACATTAAAGTTGAATGTCCTTTGAATTAGGTTTTTCCTTTAAGAAATGCTTGTTCACTTCAACCAAATATCGCTCAAAACATACTTAAAAGGTACTTATTCTTTGAATTGGTTACAATGGTTACTTTGAGACTTTTTCGTTTCTATTATCTTAATATTTTCAGGCTTTTATCTTACTTATGTCTAACATTGGGGTTCCTGGATGGAAATATCAACAGCAGGTCTGGCACGAACAAGGTTCGAACCAAACGAGAACTGAGTGACTTCTTGTCTAATGTTGGCCAAGGCGTTTAGATCCGGTCTGAATAGTAGGATGTACATTTTAGGCAAAAATGTGCAACCAAGGAAACCATACGCACTCAACAGAGTTGTGACACAGTCCACAACCGTTACATACCATCCATCGATAGACCACTCCACTGGGTGAAAACAAAACAAGGACAACAGAAATATGTAGAGGGAAAAAGCTGTCCGCATTGCCTCACTAAAATGTTCAGGAATTTTCCGTACATTAAAGGCAAAAACTCCGGATAGTAGCGACTGGAAGAAAACATAAAAACATATTACCGAAAACAGGCTTTTTTCCAGTTAAACTAGTGTATGCCTTGCACTTACTAAAAGTATAGAGTTCGGAATAAATATGTTGCACTTTAAAGGGTGGATCTAGTTGAAGCCACGGTAGAATAAAAATCAGCAGCAGTACTTACAACATTATTAAAATACAAACTTGAACTCTGTCAGAGAGCGAGTTGATCACTATTGGAACCTGAAATGCGCTCGAGATAAGCAAGAATTTCGTTAGCAAGACAGGGAGACAAAGATTATATGTCAAGTAGCGAACCGGATAAATAATCCTGCAAATTGTATCTGTGGCCTCCAAGACATTTATGAATGTCAGAGATAACAACAAAAGAACAGATAATAGGAGAGAAATGCTCAACTCTCTTTTGGATGCCTTGACGATAGGACTGTCCCAGAATTTAACAATCACTACGAAAGAAAAAAATGAGAGAATTACACCAAAAGTGGCAAACCCAAGAATAAACATTCCGCCAACACTGTTGTAGCTTAAGTTTGCCAAGGGCAAAGCTACACACTCTGTCTTAGCCTGATTAGCTGTTCTACCCTTAGGACACTCAACACAACTCGCAGAGCCAGGTAAGGGTTGACTGAGCCGCCAGGACACTGGACGCGGTGCCAACAGCAAGGTGAAGTAGACGACTTTCTCGTTCCTGGCTGGCATTGTTCCGAGCATTCAGATTTTGGTGTTTCACCATTCACAGTCCTCCAGAGAATTTCTTGATAAAAATTTAACTGAGTCTCATTTTGTGCATGATTTTCCCATTTTCCTACAAGGGTGGTTTTAAGACCATTGGTCTCGGATGATACTCGTTCGATACTGAAAATGTCATATGACGCCGAGTCTATATCACCAAATTTACCAAACTTAATTTTCCCTGTTAACCCTGTAAAATTTACTCTTCCAAGGACCCTTTGCATTTTTTTAATATTCACATCAAACTGCTGCAGATCACTGGCATCGATGCCGTTCAAATCTGTGGTCAATATGTTTAGAGCATGGGCTGCTGAGTACACAGCGTCGATGATGTATGGAACGTAACTGCTGTAGATTTTATCAACAAAATTGCTGTGGTGCTGCTCAGATTTGGAACTGTCGTAGACTTGTCGAAATCCTGGACAGTTCCATGGATTATCCTCAACATCACTCCACTCTGAAGTCGTATTATTAGTCATCACGTTCGTCAGAATGGTGTTTAGGCTTTCTTTAAATTTGTGCCCATCGTAATCATTATGTTGAAATCCTATAGATCCTTCCAAGACAGAGAATCTTGAATCCATGAAGTCGTTTTCTTTCGAAATCGAGTATAATCCACTTAAAATCCAAACGCGATCTGTGAGGTTTTGTCTGCTGACTTCTTCTATAAACCTTTGCAAATAGTCCCCATATAACAATAAGATAACTACTTTGATATTTTCGCGGCTTTTCAATTCTTCAACGACATACTTTAATGTTAGGAAATTGTGCCTCGTGACGTATAAACTCAGTCATCGCGATGCAAAATGGATGCTTCCTAGCCGTTGCTTCATTGACTAAAGACCATACTCCGCCTCTGCCATACGAGTCATCAAGTCCAACGGCAGCCACATAACTCCAGTTAAAGTGTTCAATGATGTCGACCATAGCTTTTGCAAGAAATGTATCGGAGGGCACAGTACGATACAGATGAGCATAACTGTTGGAACTCAGCTCCCCACTGGTTGTTGTTCCGCTTATTCCAGAGACATTAAACATACGAAGAATTCCACCAATATACAAAGCTGTGCGGGGAATCGAAGGGACCGATTAAGGCAACAATAGGCTTCCTTTTGGTCTTATTACCGGCTGCTGAGCTAGCACAGAGGGTATCTTCAAACAGTTCGTAAGTTATCTTCCCTGCTTTAGTAATATTTCCGTCGTAATTTCTGATGTCATATCCAAGGGAGATAATTGGAAGTAGGTATGGATCATTATTTATCTTTTCGACGGCGAAGATAATTGCTTGTGTGACACCAAATTGTTCATTACTACCGCCGCATTGGGTCTCGGTGCCTTGAAACTAACAAACAGAGCTAGACATGAGTCCACCCAACATGAAATCTCCATTTTTATAGCGAGCGTGAACAAAAGCGTAAACACAGAAATAGATAAAAACGAGATAACGAGAGAAACTCATTTTGTTGTCTTACTGTCTTTGTACTACCTTGCTGGCAAACTTGAATGTCCAAAACTCAGCTGCCGTTGGTTTTTTGAAATACATCTGTCACTTTTTTAATAATTATTGGAATGAAGCTATTTTTGAGAAGTTTTTTCATATTCCATTTGAAAAGATAATGTGACTTCAAATGTAAGTCGCATGCATTTTCGTGACGGGTTTGTGATCGAGCAAATTAACATTAGGTAAGTATGCTGTGATGGCGGCCGTTTTGACTTCAATTAAATCCTCACATGCTTCCCGTCTTGGTGTTTTACTTGTAAACTAGTAAGCGTAATTCTCATTTGTAGCTTTTGGAGCAGATGTTTGGTCGAAGCGAATTTGAACGTTGGATCTGTTTTTTCCTAATAGTCATGTCAAATGAATGACAGCTTTTAAGGAACACTAAAACAGTCTTGATGGGTAATTACGCAACATTTTGCATATTCATAATTAATTAAATGAAATAAAAATAAACGGGTTTTTGAAAAGTGGTACAGCTTAAAATTAAAATAATGATAATAATATTAAGAGAGGATGTCAGCATCCATCGAACAAATTTGAAATATTGTGGCAAGTTGCCCAAAATTCGTTTTCTCTTCTACTTTCATATTTTGTAGCCCAATATGTTCTAATAATTGTGGTGTAGTTTTTTTGCGAAAACATATTTTAGTTTTCGAGAAATGACTTTTTTCGTTCGACCGCACAAATATGCAAATTTTCACCGTGAATATTACCCGAGTTGTGTGACCTCATGTAACGAATGTACTAGACCTACGGTATTTCTGTGAACACAATCCTTTGTTTTATCATCTAAACTTAATCCCCCGTCGTTATTGAAGCTGCCAAAGAAATATTTATTTTTTGGTGAATATTTTTGTCCGACATACTTTTCCTATGTCGAAAAGTAGCATCAAAACAAAGACAGTTTTAACAATGACCGATATGACACAATCTACTGAGCTTCAAGCTTTTAAAAGACCAAAGGATGGTTATAAAGTTACTGTAAAAATTTCCCTGTGTATTTGTGTTGTTCTATCTTGAGACGAACTCAAAGTCCGGCAAAATTTACTTGATAGCGACAATGAAATGTACATGGTGCGCCTACATGTCGCCATCGTTAATTGGCATAAATCACTACAATTTGTAGAAAAGTCTAACATTACACTCTTACCTTGTTTATTTATGATTTTATTAGCCGTTTCGATTATTATATTACGCCTGGGTATTACTTTTTGACGGAAGCTCAGGTTTTGCGTTGTGTTTTCCCCTCCCTCATTTATATCATAAGCTAGTCACGCAATAGTTGATACCGACACAAGGGAATATTTACCAATTATAAAGATTTTTGTTTACGTTGAATTGAAAACATTAAAATATGTGCTTTCTTCACTAAGCGTTGTTTCAGCGGCAGCGAAGCAGTTAAAAGTGGGTTGTTGCTTCAAGGCTACTGAAATTTTTAGTATTCAGACAGGCGAGCAAAGCGTGATGCTCTGGGAATAAAAACTTTTAGGGGCCTTTTACATGATATCCGAATGAGTTTTGTACAAGAACGAGTTCATACCGGTTGCAACATAATAACCAGCGTAAAATTTATTCGAAATGAGTCATTCCTGAGTGAGTTTATTGAGGTTTTCGTTACAGAACGAAACACTCATTCTGGACGACCTTTTCTACCTGTACAATGTAAATGCGGCACGGCTCTCATATTTGTATGAATCCTCTGTAGGAGCGAGGGAAGCATTGAAAAAGACAGGAAAGGACATAAAGACTTGTTTCTACAGGCTAATTGTTGCCACTCCTAAACGGATAAGACCTAAGCACCTTTTATAACTTTATAGCGGTCGTTTTCGAAATTCCAGGCGCGCACCCCCGCCCTCTTATGTAAAGGGTCCCCCGGGGGTGCTAATGCGTGCAGCACACTTGACATTTAGCAAGGACAAATTCTGATGTGATTTTGGCGAAGAGAAACATGTTTTGTCAGCGTCTAGTCGCTAGTGCGGAAGGGCCCTTTACCACCGTGTGCATAATTACGCGTCCCCCCAGACTGCGGAAAGCCAACAAAGTGTTCAGACATTACTTCAGGCAACTCCGCCTCTGTCTGAATTTTGGTAGCCTATTCATCAATTCCCAATCAAAACTTAACTCTGACGTCACGTGTAATTTTACTCACGGTGGTAAGTAGCCTACTTACCGAAGCCAGCTTGTAGGAATTTCCCAGACATCTTTAGTACTCTCTGTGACACACGCTTGCTAATTCCCCCATCATCGACTTAACCCTACCTTTACCATGGCCGGACATTTCTTTTGGCACCCTACATCTACTATTGGAACCACGATTCCACCCAACACCGAAATTTGATCTATGAGTGGGGCAATTTGTAAAATCATCGATATCTTTTAACGTCTCGAAGATGCCGGTGTCCCAGCGGATTTGGACCCCCCTAGATTTGGACCCACCGGTCCAAATCCGCTAGCGGATATGGACCCTCCTCCGCGGATTTGGACCCCTCAACAAAACTGAGTGAAAACATCATCCTTAACGTTCTAGTAAAAATGGATGATACTTTACGTTCCAGAGCGTACTGAAGTATGTTTTCAATTCAAAACATGCGTATCGTTGATGCATACGAACTGGCATCCCGTCGGATGTTTCTTTTGACCAAGGGAAAATGAGCAAGAATTTAGTTTAATGTCTGGAGAGAGGTCGTTTTTGAACCTTTTCCGCCATAGTCGAACACCGTTAGATTCAATAAGAAACAAACTTGTGACACTAATTTATTTTGTCATTGTTCATTGCCCGAGTGTTGGGACGACATGGTACAGTGCGAGGGATTTAAGACTGCCTCGGAGGACGAGTGGCTCTGCATTGTCTGCAGATTGCCAGACTCTAGACGTCTTCGTAATTGTTAAGGTGTTATTTCGTAATAGTCTCCATTTTTTTTAAGACGTTGACATTAACGTTGATTTGCATCTGAGAATAAGCTGAGAGTTCCAATAGTTCAGAATAGAAACATTTTACTTATCATAGGCTTTACGAACGACTTGTAATACGAGTAGTTCCTTCGTTCTTGTTCAAAAACTGTTAATATTATTATTTTAGAAAATCAGACTGAGTCATTTTTGTGACTGGACGCAATAGTCTCCACTATTGTTATGACGTTTCGTACCAATGTTGATTCGCATCAGAAGAAGCAAAGATTTATTGTAACTATTTCAATAGTTCAAATGCAGTGGTTTGTTCACATCTAATTCTTGCGTATACTGTTCGACTATAATGAATGTATAATGAATGCGGTAGAATTGGAACAAAATGGTTGTTGTTGTTTTTTTTTTACCTTTATTGAGGAAATGTTGTGTTGTGATTGAAAAGAACATCGACAAAAAAGTTTGCAAATAGAATTAGTTACCAAATATGATACAAAGGATGCTAAAAAGGAAAGTTTGGTAGGGGGGTCCAAATCTGCGAAGGGGGGTCCATATCCGCTAGCGGATTTGGACCGGGGGTCCAAATCCGCGGGTGGTCCAAATCCGCTGTGACACCGGCACTCGACAAAACAAGATCAACTTCATCTTCTGCATCTGAAAACTTGCAACTCCGCAAGTGACATGAAATGTCTTTTTAACAATCACACAAGGGAACGACTTGTTCTTCTCGATAACAGGGGATTAAGTTAAGATGATAAAACAAAGGATTATGTTCACAGAAATACCGTAGGTCAAGTACATTCGATACATGAGGTCACACAACTCGGGTAATATTCATGGTGAAAATTTGCATATTTGAGCGGTCGAACGAAAAAAATTACTTCTCGAAAACTAAAATATATTTTTACAAAAAAACTACACCACAATTATTAGAACATATTGGGCTACAAAATATAAAAGTAGGAGGGAAAACAAATTCGGGTGACTTGCCGCTGTTTGTTTGATTCATGCTGACATTGGCTCTTAATAACAATAGAGGTAATAATAATTATACTAATAGCAATAATAACAACAATTATTGAATTGATTGTAATCCTGTTTGGCGAAAAACCCAAATAAATGCGATCACTGAGATAATTTACGCTCACATCAAATGACACTTTCAAGGAAATTTTTTTCTTTCTAGGCAAATAAGGACACTGTATTACTGCCGCTTTCATTTACCTGGTAAAAATATTAGCAATAATTGTAATTTTGATAATAACAATAATAGAAAAAAAACAGCAATAATACTAATAATAATAATAATAGTAGTAATAGTACTGACAATGACGATGACAATGAAAGGCCTATGATAGTGACCATAATAATTCAACCCTAATATCTTAAGATATTTCAAATATTTCAACAGGTATCTGATGAGGTGGGTAGGAAAAAATTTAACTTTCACATTTTTTTCACAGCGAGCGAGCCTTGCTACAGGCATCGTGTTCCTCTATGTTAGAGGATCCCCCGAAGGATCACCACCATGCCGTGGTCGGCGGGCTTGAGTGCCTTGGAGACCCCTAAAGCTATGCCAGCGGGAGCTTCGTCTCCTAGTAGGGCCACCCAAGCCGGACAGGTCGAAGGGTAGAGGCCCGACGAAGCGCGATCCATCGGTCCTCCAGTTTAGGGGGTTGGGCACAGGGCTAACAACCCTGTCCCGTAAAACACCGGAAACGGCAAAAAAAAGCCGCCCTACGTGCCACACGGCATAATGGGCATAAGTGAGTAAGTGATGCTAGAGGATGCTTTAATGCCTCACCAGTAAACACCATGTCTTTTTAGATCGCTCGTGCCTCTATTTAAAATCAGGTATCCTGAGGCTCGAGGCAAAGTCATCATAATTTGTGAATACTATGTTCCAAAAGCACCTTTTATGATGGACATGCTTTGTATGTGAATCCGCATCGGTGCATCACTTTTCAAAAGCCAAACTCGATCATCCCTAAAACTTACTTACATAAAGGAAAGATGGTTCCTTGAAAATCAGATATCAAGTTCTTATATCTTAA